TTTTGCTTCTAATGTCCCTAAGCTCAGTGTTAACCCTCTTGTTTCTCTGTTTCCATCTATACTTCTTGAAAGTTATCAAACCTCATGGATTTAATTTCCAGCTACAAATTGAGGACTTCAATGTTTAAATATAAAGTCCACAATTCTTCCATGAACTTCAGATCATAGGGTCAAAATTCTGTAGAAAATTCCCACTTGAATATGTGATAGGTATATCCACATTACTACCCCTTAACCCTCAACCAGGCATGTTCTTCTGCTTTTCACTTCTTATTAGTTAGTGACAATTCCATCCTTTCAACTGCTCAGTTCCCATTCTTAAATAACCATTACTTTTTTTTTTTTGTCTCTTCTAGTGCCTATCCAACCCATTAGAATATCCTATTGACCCATTTTAACCTATGATAAACCCGAACCACCTTTTACCACTTCTACTGCTCCTATCTTCGTCCAAGCCACCAACTTTGGGAACATTGGATAACATTTTTTGCTGCAATATACGTAAGAGATGAGAGTCAACTAAATCGAGGCTCAGGGAAAGCAATGTAAGATAACTGGGCTGTGTTAACTCTTAAATACTACGGCATACAGCTATGAAAACGTGAAAGGATAAGCAAGTTCAAAATCTGTGGCCTGCAGTCCCACCTGACATCTGTATTGTGTGGAATTTAAGAACAGCTGCTCCTAAGCATGGACAAATCCAATTTGTGTAAATACTTTGCATAAGACACCATCAACCTCAAAGAATTGACCATAGGCACACAGCAAAGTATGATGTCTTGCACACAATCTGGTCGTACTCAGTATGTTCATTTATTCTTTCACAAATATTTATTCAGTAGCAACAAGTGCCAGATACTTTTGTTAAGAACTATGGATACAGCAGTGAATAATTAACAAAAATGTCTGCCCTCATGGAGATTACTAGTATATTCTGGGGAAGAGAGACCAGCATCAGTAGATGTGTACAGTAGTGTACAGTCAGATGGTGGTAACTGCTGTGGAGAATCTTAAGGGAATGGGGGGAGGTTAGGAAATGCCAGAAGAGGAGCCAGGCAGAATGACACTGTGAAAAGACAGAGCAGGACAGCCAAAACTTGTTTGGCTCAGTGGATAGAGCATTGGCCTGCGAACTGAAAGGTCCCTGGTTTGATTCTGGTCAAGGGCATGTACCTTGGTTGTGGGCACAACCCCAGTAGGGGGTGTGCAGGAGGCAGCTTATTGATGTTTCCAACTTTTTATCTTTCTCCCTTCCTCTCTGAAAAAAAATTAATAAAATATATTTAAAAAAAAAAAAAGACAGAGCAGGACAAATCTTTGAGCAGGAGCTGAAGTAGATGAAGGAATCCCAAAAGGCAGCTATTTGGATATTTAAGCAGAAGAGAAAGTCTCATGTTACCATATTTTTTCTTAACACTTAAAACTTTTACTTTACATTTATTAAAGTTTTAACCCCAAATATGTAACTGGTTTTAGGGCATTCTTCCTTTTAATAGTGAAAAATAATACTTCTGTCTGGCAAGCAATGACCTGATTCCTCTACAGAACCTCCCAGCATCTAAAAGCTTCTTAGAGGTGTGAGCTACACCCTTCCTTGAAGCTGTCGGGCCCTGGCCCTGAATTGACATATGGCAGCATCTCCCGGGCACAGCTGGCATGTCCAGAACACCTAGCTGTGGCATCATTTGGAGGATGTTTTGTTCCAAAAAGAAAATAGTTGCATTTTTCATTTTTAAAATATAATGCATACAAATAAATTTTAGTGAAATAATAGAGTGTAAAATAAAAATAAAAAAAAATGTGTTTTCCATTCAGAGATAACGAGTGCTCTTATCTGAGGCCTTGGCATTCCAAATCACCTTTAATTGGAGGGGGGCAGGGCATACACTTCCAAACACAGGGGCTCACCTTTCTTTTTTTGGTTGAACAGAAGTCCATTATGCAGATGAAACCCTTAGTTGTCTCTTGGATGCCCTACTCTTTCAGAGACTACATGCTGCTCTTTCAGGCATAGTCCTTTATAGATTAGGTACAGGTTGGAATATTCTATAACCAGATACTCTCTCCCTGTATATTCATGTGTGTGTGTGTGTGTGTGTGTGTGTGTGTGTGTGTGTGTGTATTTCCCCTGGAGCATGCAGTGACATAATTTGAGAAAGAAATTTACCTGAGTGCTTATAAATGAGAAATTTATAATTTATTTCTTTGAGCAAAGAAAACTGTAACATCAATTCAATATACACATATTGAGACAACAGTTCTTTACTGACTACATCCTTGAAAACGTTGCTAGCACCTCAGAGACTCACATCGCTCATTTGTGACATTGATCATATCCACATTTCTGTCAGTAAGAAAGATGACATAAGTGAATTTACCTTGTAACTGCAAATGCAAGAGTGTTATTAATTATGAAAACTATCCTTTAGGGTATCAAATCTCCTGTTTTAAACCCCACTGTTAATGCTTGCATCTCCTAACTACAGGAACTGAAAGGGACCAAAAATTCTAACATTGCACTGCAGTGCCCCCTAGCCCCTGTAGGAGGTGAAGGCAGCTGATGACTTTCCTGAGTAAGCTCCACCACAGATGGCTCTTCTGCCTGAGGGAAGGGCCGGTAATTGGGCTTTGGGAGGATTTCCATCTGTCCAAAAGGAAAAGCATGCATGTGCTTTCTTCAATATTTTCCTACAATATTATTTTTTTTATTTTATAGGAGGAGTAAAAATGTAAATATCCTTTACTATTTAATTTTCATTCCATCAAATGGCTTTTCATAAGAATCTCACTTCTAGATTTATTTTTATTGTTATTTTTTAATCTCCTTCCAATGATATTTTTTCCATTGATTTTTTAGAGAGTGGGAAGGGAGTGGGAGGGGGGAGAGGAAAAGAGAGAGGAGGGAGAGAAGATGGTGGTGGGGGAGAGAAGGGGGATAGAAAGAGAGAGAAAAATTGTTGTGAGATAGACACATTGATTGATTGGCCTCCCACAAGCTGGGGATCAACCTGCAACCCTTCAGTGTACAGGAGGAGGCTCTAACTATTAAGCTCTCAAACCAGGGCAAAGAGTCTTATTTCTAAAAGAACCACTAGATTTATCCTAAGACTCATTGCAATATTTCTGATTTATATATGATTACCTATTCTCATTAACCAAACTCTTTATAATTCACTGTGAGGGAGAGTATTTGTCATAGTGTTCCTTTTACAGAGAGGAAATAGGGGCTTAAGCTTTTTTTTTTTTTTTTTTTTTTGCAAGATTGTACAGCAAGCTGCTATTATGAGCTTCAGCCCCTTAGATCCAAACTTGGGCATGAAATCCACCAACAGACACGTCATTGTGTAAATTGTGTACTATTTTAACATCAAAATGTAGAAACATTTGCTAACACGACTTATAAACACTCATATTAGAAGTATATCCACTGCTTCCTTTCATAGGTTCAAGTTCTTTATCTTTAGCTCTTCATTTCAAAATTATACAGACATTTTTAAGTTTCAGTGGTCCCGTAGGTAAGTTGGGTTGCATAGCGAGGAGTCCGTGGGGAACTGAACTCGCTCTGTGAGTTTATTTTCCATGCTGAGAATTTAAGTATTAATCAGCAAGCTTTCAGGGATTTCTTTCTAACATCCTTTCCTGTGTCAGATAAGAACTTCAATTCATTAGACCATTGGAGGAGCCAGAGGCTTTGCTATAAGCTTTGTCTTTCTTGACGGCTCCTTGCAAATTCCGTGGGAGTGAGTGCCCATGGTATTTATATCCTACCGGCGATTAGACTGCGATTTTGACACAATCCGGTTGCCTTTCAGACTCAACATTTCTCCCGCTTTAGGGGTCCAAGGCCATCCCAGCCTCAGTGTCCTTTCTATTATACTACACTTCCTAAGAGAAAAGCAGCAAATGTGATCTTGTGAAACTGGGAGACTTTTTTTTTGTATCACTTTATTTCTCTTTCCATTTCTCTATTAACCTAACTCAGGAAAAACAAAAACAACAACAACAACAACAACAAAAAAAACAACCCGCAGGAAATAAAAATAAATCTTCACCCACTACTCGCTGCTTTCTATGATCTGATCACTCATAATTGAAAAACCTCAATTCCCTTAGCCATGGTCCCTGGAGTCTTTTTACTTCACTTTGGCATTAACATCACAAACCAGAGACCCTCCAGCCCCAGGCAAAGAGAACGCCCTGAATCAAAGACAGCCATCCTCTCCCCGCTGCCTTTGTAACTTGGTGGGGAAGGCTCAGTTTGGGCTAGGAGGAGGAGGATGATGATGAGGAGGAGGAGGAGGAGGATGATGATGAGGAGGAGGAGGATGATGATGATGATGATAATGATATGATGATGATGATGATGACAGTCACGGGAGGGGAGGGATACCAGGGTGTCTAATTACACGGTAGACCACCCCTTCGCCACGTCCCCTCCCGGCACCCCGGTGAACCTCCCCCGCGTGCTCCTCGGTGGATCCGGGGACCCCTCTCTCTTTAAGAGAGAGCCCCCCAGCGCCCCCTCCCTCCGCCCCCCTCCGGGCCCCTGGGCTGGTCCGAGCTTCCCCAGAGCCATGGTTGGTCCAGGCCGGCGATCGGATCGGAGCGCCTCGCTCGCTGGCGCCTAGAACCCGGGGGTGGGGTGTGGCGGGGTGGGGGCGGGGGTCTGTGTGTAGTACTCGCAGCCCTGATGTCACAGGCGCGGCAAGGACATCGCAAGGAGGAGTCGGGTTACAGTGAGGATGGGCAGTGCAGCGGGCGGCCCCGGCGCACGCTCCGGCCGCCGAGGGGGACCCTGAGCCCGGGAGCCGGGAGAGGGGCCAGAGCCTGCTGGGCGCCGCTGCCGCCCCGGACGCACGCTGGGCGGGCGCTCTCCGCTCTCCGCTCCGGGGCCGTCTCTCCGCCGCCCGGAGCATGAACGCGCTCTGCCCCGGGAGCCAGCAGCCTTGGGTGCGAGCTGATGCTGAAGGCGCCGCGGTGGGCTCCCCGCTGTCCGATTAATGAGACACATAATGTATTTTGGTGAGTGCCGACTCTGAGGATGGGATTCTGAAGGGGTGATCACGCTTCATAGGGCCCCTTCCTAATTTTTTTTTTTTTTTTTTAAATCTTGGAACCGAAAGCTACCTCCCACGGGGCACCCGGAGGACCAGGCTGGCGGTGCATGCAGCCTTCCAAGCACCCTTTGTGCTTGTGGAGTTGGGGCTCTCAGTCCTGGATGAGTTGGAGTTGGAAAGGAAGAGAGACGGGCTTGGGGGTGGCGAAACTTTGCCTGCATGTGTGCCTGCGTGAAGTTGGCTCTCTGAGCAGCTGGGGGAACACGGGGACACGGTGCGCCATGTGGGAAGTCAGGGGCTAACACTCTGGGATGGAAAAGTTCCTACTCCTATGCTACGGATGCTGCGGAAGCTTAGCCAGTGCCAGTGCTTCCTGGAGCGGCTGGGCTTTTCCTTAATGCTGAGGCGGGGAGGGAGAAGGTTCTTTGGGGTGCGGTGGGTTGAGCAGCCGAGAACGCTCCATCCCATCCCTGTTTTCCATTTAGCCAGAGCAGCCTAGTGCAGCCTGCATCTTATTGTAAACCCTTAGTCGCCTTGGCGGAGTTCAAGATGTGTGAGGTTTAGTGGGGTGTCGCGGGGAAAGCCTCCCCGAGGTGTTCAGTGGAGCTGCCCGTGTTTCCAGAGAAAAAAAAAAAAACACCACAAAAACATGTTGAGGCTCACCACTGGGCAATCAGCGGAGCGCTGTGAGCAGGCGGGGAGCTGTACCATCGCACTGTAACGCTGCAACTTGCTGCCAGGGAAGGAGGCAGAAACCCCTCCACCGCCTCAGAAGCCACGGATTAGAACCGAAATCGCCTCTCCTCCTCCCTGAAGTGATGCTTTCCCTCTGTGAGTTCCACCCAGCGTCATCCTCTAAGGGCATCTATCTGATATTCAAAGGTTGGTGAGAGCCGCTGGGGGGGTCGAGGAAGGGTTGCAGAGGCAAATGCACTGTGTGATGTCGCAGTGAGAGCTGGAAGTAGGAAGTCCAGAGTCATTTTTCAGATTAAAGAAATATTTAGATGAATGGATGGGGGGGGGGGGGGGACACAGTACGAGTGTCTTGGGTATTGATTTCTGTGTGTACTACAGTAAGTGCTTTTTTTTTTTTCTTTCTCTCTCTCTCGCCTTAGAAACATCTGTGAAAGTGTGGAAGGCACACAAGTTGCAAAAGCTGAATGCCTTTAGTTGTCTTGACGGCGGTTTTGATGCCCCTATCATTTGTGTCATGTTAGAAGAGGCATTAAAACTACTAAAATTGATCGGAAAGGAAACAATCCCGACTTCATAATCAAATATAAGTCTAATCCAGAGTTGAACACCACCCCTTTTCCAGGGGTTAATGATGGAGATAGTAAGCTTGTGTGTTGGCGATGAATAAAATAGCAAGTAGTGTTTGCTGATCCTGAATATATTTTTGATACATGGAAAAGTTTGTAGAGATAATATGTCTTTGGAGCAAAAGAACGTTTTGGCATCTTGATGATATTTGAGGGGTTGGGAGTAGATTGTAATTTTACTTAAAAGTTTTCAGCCCCTTGCAACAATTTATTGTGTGATGAGTGCAGTGAGGACTTCTCTTGTGGCTGTTGGTGAAATGGTCTTAGCTTGTGTTATTATTCACTGTACGCTAGCCCAGCTGTCTTGTGAACAGGGTGATTCACAGGGCAATTAGTTTAACTGTGCAATGCAAGTTTTTAATAGTCCCCATTGAAATGCAATGTCCTACTTCAAATGAAATGATATACTCTTTTTAAAGGCGAGGCTAAAGTTGCCCTATGTGTCATGAGCGTGGTTCGGTCTTACCATAATTCCGGCATGAGCTGTGTTTTTCTATTCCCAGAGGAAATCGTGCGGATTCAGGAATGCCGCTGCTTTCAGGTTATGCTATGCAGCCCCTTGTTCAGGCTGAGAGAGATCAAAACTCTGAGAGCCCACCTGTCTCTTAATGAAATGCGGGGGACAAGAGCCAGGACAGGAGGCATTTAGCAATGCCACCCAGGCATGTGAAGATTCTATAGCATTCAGATGTTTGCAAATCCTTACGACTGTGCTGATATGTACGTGTGTGTGTGTGTGTGTGTGTGTGTGTGTGTGTGTACATTGATGTGTCTGCCCAACATTTTAGCTATTTCAGGTCATTTTTCAGAACCATGCTTTTCCTTTGCCTATTACTGTCCCTTCATTTTTGAAGTGCGAAATGATTTATCAAGTCAGGGAGAACAGGGACAAAGGGGAAGCCGGGAAGCATTCTTGAGCTTTGCTGGTGATTTGTGGGATGGAGTAGAGGTGTCAGAATTCTTTTATCTGTGCCCTGAGCAGGGAGTGATGGAGATCATGATGATGCTGTAACATGGGGTGAATTGATTTTCAGGCGGGATATTTACTTCCCTTATAAATAATGTAGTTTGTCAGTGTTACACAACCCCCACCCCCGGTATAACTATAGGATGATTGCCTGAGCAGACTGGCTCCGCTTCTCTGCCTCTCTCATGCCTCCTCACCTTCTGGGACTGGGCAGTGGAGCTCTGTCCTTGGTCCGTTGGAGTCAGTTGGAATCAGTTGTCTGTGTGCGAGTTGGTAGAATATTCCCAGTTCTCGAGAACAGCTCATATTTGGAGTGTGCTGTCTCCGACTTACATGACTAATGGACTCTTTTAATGGCTTAAGCCCCACTCTTATCTCCGACTGAGATTTCAGTGCAGTGTTTTCAATAATTGTTCATTCGCACTTACCGCGCCGTGATTGAAGAGTTTGCTGTTCAGTCACCCTGGATACCTTTGTTACTTATTCTATCGATCTTGCTTGCATTCATTACTTAGAGTTAAAAGTCAGGTTCACATGGGAGACGGAAGCCAGGAAAATCCCAGTCAGCAACCTGGTTGGGATTTACCGTAAATGCAAGGGAGAATAATAAATGCTTCTGAAGTCACCCTCTCCACTCCCATAAATATTTTACCTAGTTAAAAATTACATGTGCCAAGGGTAAATAGCCATTAAAAATGTATCCAGAAATAAAAGCAAGGCAGTTGGGAGACGTTATCCCAGATTAAGGGAGAGAAGCCATGGGTGGTTGTCAGTACAACAGGCAGGAGCCGCCGGATTACAAGCTTGGCTAAAAGGAGTGTGGAGGTATGAAGGGCAGGCTCCTTGCTTGAGTGCACCCCGGTTATGTATCTCAGAGTCTGGCAGAAGGTGGCCCCGTGTCCTGTCTCCAGCTCTAAGCGCCGTATGTCTGAGTCATCTCCCCGTTTGCCATCTGGCCCAGCACGTTTCTCTGCTGTTGGTGCTGTGAGTTGTCACCACTGGTCATATCCACCCCACCAAGTGTTCATGGTTGGCCAGAGGGGTGCCATGTCAAAACCCTCTGCCATCAGGAGAGAAAACGGTAGGCTGATGGCACGGGGTAACTCTGTGTGGCTGAACACCAGGATGCTATCAGACCCCAAGAGAACCAGATGGAGAAACGATACAGGAAAAGATACTCCTTCAACACATGCGGGGAGCTGGGAGACAAACGTTAGTGCCCACCCTAAATGCTACCATTAACGGCATAATAGTAGAGAAAAGGGCAAGCAACATTTAGGAAAGTGAGACTGAGCTGTTCAAGTTCAGGTTGGTGTTAATTGTGGGTCAGCTGCCTGCCTGAAAATGCCCCAAGACAAATAGGAAAGATACTCAGCAGTGTGCCTGTCACAACAAGGAATACATAACTGGGGAAGCTTTTAATACAACAGCTAGACCAGGTTTAGTTGGAAAATTCTGGACCAGACACCTATCCCCCTGCCTATAATAAACACGGTTGTACATTGTCATAGAAGGACTTCTGTTTGTCCCTGGGATGTTTAGAACATTCTTAACTCAGCATTTACACTTTGGGTTTTGGCTGGCCCATCAAGTTTCACCTCTGAAACAGGGTGTTGGAAAAAACAGCCAAGTGGCAAGGTTATGGGGAAGGAAATGAGCAGAAACCAGCAGGCAGCAAGGGGGGGGGGGGGGGAGTCCTCTTTTTTGATGTTTTAGTGGAAACATTTAACTTGTCCTAATTAGTTTGTGCTAAGTGACCTGTTATGGGGAATTAGGCTCACTAGAGTCTTCTAAACACTCCAGAGGTGTTTCTGTCTTACCTAAGTTCCCAGGGACAGAATCATTCAGGAAGAAATCTGTTAGCTCAGGTTTCCCCTTTTGAAAGTTTGTAGTCATTACCAATATGTTTTAGGAAAGTAAAAAACATGCAATAAATTAACTGGGGTGGAGAACGTGACAGGTGAATGCTGTTGGCAAGGAACCTGAACTCTACTACAAGAATTTAAAAAAAATAATAAAGATTTCCCCCTCAAGACTGTTCTCTATTAAATTCATTAAGGAACCGAATTCTATAGTTGATCAGTATGCCTGAAATATGGATTCACTATTCATTTACACTCTTAAGTTTTGAGCTAAAATTTACCTTTTTTTTTTTTTTTGAAGAACCTTCTTAGTTGCTATAATTATATGGAAATGAGATGGGTTTATTTAAGGGATAAGTTCCAAAATTCATGAGATAATGACAACTTGCAAAGTTACCCTTTTGTGGGTGGTATATAATTGTTCCAGAAAAACAAATGAAAAATTTAAATTAGTGGTTTCTGACTTCCATTCCAGGAGATGTGGTCACAGCTGCTTTTGACCGAAACCTCCCTTGATAAGGCGAGATAGATGTGTTGGCTTGTGTGTGTGTGTGTGTGTGTGTGTGTTTAACAGTGGATTATTGAATAGCACCATGTTACAGAAGTACTCAAATATTATCCCTCATTCCCATCTTTTGTGTATTCCTAAATCTGTTCATATCATTTGAAAGATGAAACACAAAGTATTGATTTAATGAGATGGGAATGAAACTATTTTTTTTTTTTTAGCAGAGCTGGCTTTTAAGTTTAACCACCAGTACATACATTAAAGGTTTTTAAAGTTAAGTCATAAGATAATGTTCAAGGCTTTCCC